TCAAAAACGGGAGAACCCTAACAATTTTGCCATTTCGAGTGTCGAACCAGATCAACGGCCATGTTACATATGTTCTAATGCACATGAAGTGGCAAATTGCCCACGTTTAATTTCCATGGGTATCGCAGATCGATGCAATTGTCTGCGGCAACACAAAGCGTGTTTTGTTTGTCTTGGTAATACGCATTTTGCCAAGGTGTGCAGCTCCAGAGAACTTTGTGGTCATTCCGGGTGCAAAAAACGACATCATACGCTTTTGCATGTAATATCGTCGGAAAGTAATCAACAAACATTACATAATGAAGGGCTTTGTGTCCTGATTGGAATTACGCAGGTACCATCACGACTGGGGGTTATTCCTGTCAAGTTGGCAACTCCGACAGGAAACGTCGAAACTTACGCATTTTTGGACAGTGGCTCGGATGTCACTCTGATTAAACGAAAGCTTCTTGTCGGAAATGGAGTGTTAACAACGCCAACAACACTGACAATAAACACCTTAAGCGGTTCAATCAAATGCAACTCGGAAGTCAGAAGTCTAAGGGTACTGCCCATGAATGGAACCGAGTCAGTTGAGACTGAAAGGGCTTTGGTAGTCGAAGACTTGCCACTTCGTGCAGAATCGACAATTAAAAGGATAGCCTCTTCGTGGCCACACCTGAGCGGTATAATGTTTGACGCGCTCACTAATTGCGAGGTTGGCATACTCATTGGGAATGATATCGCGGAAGCTCATTGGGTACTCGACCAACGTCTGGGTGGCAAAAGGGAGCCGTTCGCCGTTAAAACACTGCTGGGCTGGATGCTGCTTGGGTCTTCACGTGGCAGGCAAAAACAGAACGCTGTCTGTCACTGCATTGTAAATCAAGAAAAGGACGTGACGCACAGCATCAAGAAGCTACACGACTCGGAGTTTACGGACACTTCAACAACGACTGCGAGTCACTCATTGGAGGACAAACGGGTACTGATTATTGTGCGATCTTCCGTTACAATCATAAAAGGGCATTACCAACTGCCACTCCTTGGCGAAACAGTACGCTGAATTTACCGAACAATTTTCAGTTGGCGCGTAAACGACTAATCCATCTCAAGAGTAAGTTGGGTCGAGATCCCGAATTACTTCGGAAATATAAGCAAACATTCCGTTCGTACATGGAGAGGGGATACATCGAGTGAGTTGACGGCAACAAAGCGTTTCCAGTTACGAGACACTGGTACTTACCACACCACCCCGTTGTCAACCCCCGAAAACCAGAAAAAATTCGTGTTGTATTTGACAGTGCTGCCAAGTGTCAGGGCGTGTCTCTGAATGATAATCTATACCAAAGACCTGACCTAAACGCTAAGCTAGTAAGTGTGTTGTTGGGTTTCCGACTTGAGCGTATTGCAGTGACAGGGGATATAGAGGAAATGTTCCTGCAAGTGAAAGTGGACCCGATTGATCGACCTGCTCGGAAATTTTTGTGGTGGGAAAATGACGACCTTGAAGGAGAGCCAGTTGAGTTTCAGTGGATATCTCACCCATTCGGATTGACTTCTTCGTCCTTTTGTGCCACCTTTGCGTTGCAAAAAACTGTTGGAGATTTCGGGTCATCTTACTCTTCATCAACTGGCAGAGCGATTCACCAGAGTATATACGTTGATGATTGTCTAGTCTCGTTATGTGATGTCGATTCAGCCAAACGTTCTGTGGACGAAATTTGTAAACTTCTCTCTCAAGGTTGCTTTCGTATGCGGAACTGGGCTTCTAATGACCGGCGTATACTCTCGGTCGTTAGTGCGACTGAACGTTCTTCTGGTATGCGAGATATTGCCGTCAACCCCCTACCTACTGAACGAACTTTGGGGTTGCAGTGGGATACGCATTCCGATATTCTGATGATAAGTTTCAATATGTCCGCAAAATCTTCCACTCGTAGGGGTATTTTGTCCTGTTTGTCCTCACCCTATGACCCTCTGGGCTTCGTTTCGACTTGGCTGATACCAGGGAAGTGTTTACTGCAATCCTTATGCAAAAACGGACTGAATTGGGATGAAAAACTATCTGGCATCGAGAGCTCTCGTTGGGAAAACTGGATCTCTAATTTACGGAGCCTGAAGACATTTCAGCTGGGCCGATGTCTAAAGCCCAAAGATATCAGCGATCCGATGCGAGCCGAACTGCACGTGTTTTGCTATGCCTCGGAAGTAGCATACGGTGCAGTGGCATATGCTCGCTTTATTAACGACACAGGAAATCTACATTGTTCACTCGTTTATTCGAAAGCACGTGTTGCCCCCCCCCATCAAAGCCGTATCTATACCACGTTTGAGTTGGCAGCTGCTACTCTGGCTGTGCGCGTGGCTGATCTCATCCGGTCAAGCACCGATAGGTACTTCCAAACAATAACGTTCTGGACCGATTCTATGATAGTCCTTTATTATATACACAATGAATCAACCAGGTTTTGCACATTTGTGGGCAACCGACTGACGGTTATGCATGATCTGTCTGCGACCTCTCAGTGGAGATACGTGAGTTCGGACGTCAACCCAGCAGACATTGCTTCTTGAGGTACGTGCAACTTTGCGCTGGTACGTAGATGGTTGGACGGTCCGGAATTTTTAGTTCAACCTGAAGGCGAATGGCTTGTACAACCTCCCGTAGGGCAACCTGAAGACTCGGAATTCAAGAGGACAACAGCCCAAGTTCATGTATTAAATCAATGTGATGGTTTAGACGAATTAGTTATGCGTTTTTCAAGTTGAACAAGGCTACAAAGGGCTGTGGTCTGGCTCCTGCGTCTCAAGCAGTACGTCAGAGTCACCACTGGCAAGGCACCTAAGGAGACGCTGATGTTGGGTCCTATCCGAGTATCGGAAATGCGCCAAGCTAGCATTAACTTGATAAAGCTTATACGAAGGAAGCACTTTTCAGCAGAATTGATATTCTGCAGTCTACACCATCAGATTACCAGAAAAGAAAGTCCGTGAGAAATATTGGCCTGAGAAAGCTATGTCCGGTTTTGATTGAAGGAGTAATGTGCGTTGGTGGTCGCCTGAACTACTCAAATTTTTGTGGATCGTTAAAACACCCGTCAATCCTCCCATACAATCATCCCGTGACGGAATTAATCATACATTGCTTTCATGAACTGGAAGGCCATTGTGGGACAGCCCAAGTTCTAGGTGCAATCCGTCAAAAGTTCTGGACTCTAAAAGGAACCGCTTCTGTCAAACGTGTCATCGGTAGATGTTTACTTTGCAGACGTAAATTTGGACAACTTCAGGGGCAGATGATGTCCCCACTTCCCTTAAATAGAACAGAAGTCGGTTGGTATCCTTTCGAGTGCTTTGGGTGGACTATTTTGGTCCGATGATGGTCAAACGCGGACGGTCTTCGGCGAAACGCTATGGTTGTGTGTTTAGCTGCTTACAGACGAGAGCCGTTCATCTTGAGATGGCCGCCAGTCTGACCACGGATTCCTTTGTTCAATGTCTGATGAGATTCGTGAGTAGACGCGGACGTCCCACTGACATCTACAGTGACAACGGAACCAATTTTGTTGGAGCGGTAGCAGAACTCCGAAAGGACTTACTCTTTTTCGGCTAGCTGCCAGCTGTCCGCGAGTATGTACAAAATCCCTTTTTCACCTTCCCATTTATCAATGTTTTTCTCCGACGACTTGTAACCAAGAGGGAATTCAAAGGCGCTTGCCTATATTTCCCTTAATAAACTGATACTGATACTGATACAATTGGGACCAAAAGAGAGTGTCGGACCAACTGCTAACTCCAGAGATACAGTGGCATTTTAACCCACCCCCTGCCAGCCATCGGGGAGGCATCTGGGAACGAATGACCAGGCCTCCAGGACGGATTCTTCTTGCTCTCTGTAGGGAGCAGTGCCTTACTGACGAAAAGCTCGGCACCCTCTTCGTGCAGACTGAACGTATATTAAATAATAGACTGCTTGTCCCGCTAACATCAGACAGCAACGACTTGTAACCGCTTACCCCGAATAGCTTATTGTTGAGGAGGAAATGTCCAGTGCTGCCTTGCGGGGACGAATTGGTGGCACGGTACCACATTGGATGGAAACAAGTGCACTACCTCGCTGACGTGTTCTGGAGACGATGGGTAAAAGAATATCTCCCAAGTCTGCAGAAAAGAACAAAATGGACAAGAGAAGCCGCGGAACTGAAACCAGGTGATGTTGTTTCAGTTTCTGGGGAGCGCACAGCTCGTGAGAATTGGCCTTTGGGAGTAACAGATAGGTGCGAAAGGAGTCGCGACGGCCTCGTTAGGACGGTATATATTAGAACGGCGGGCGGTTTCTTAAAAAGGGACTTTGGAAAGATTTGTCTCCTTGAGGGTCAGAGCGGCCGTATACCTCCAAACACGTAGAACATTTACAAGAGCCGGACGTGGAGAATTGGCGGGCGGTGTTGTATCCAGCTGGTCAACGTTTGGAATTCTCCACGTCCTCCTCTCAAGTGCTTCTACATTTGGCCCCTGTTGACATTCCCCTTCCCCTTTTTTGTAACCATTTTTTGAGCGTGATCGGCGTTCTTTTAATTAACCAGTTTCGTATTCTGACCTTGAGCTGGGAATTCGATCTGCTCGAACAATAACAAAGGAATTCTTTGTCTAGGGTATCCATTGTTGAGGTTTGTACGTTTTTTCATTATTACTTTATTCTATCAATTGTACCGTATAAACACCGAAATCTGGACTCGATGGTGTCAACTCTGTAACGTCGTCCATTCGACCGCCCTGGATGTTCTCGACCGCGCAGGTCGTCAGCACCAGGACTCGTTCGACAAAAATGACGCAGCTATCAGCAACCTGCTCGCCGAGAACATGCTACACAGAGCCTATCTTGACGGTCCAACCGATGTAAGCAAAGCAGCCTTCTGCAAATGTCACCACCTTGCGCAACAACGGTTGCGAGAAATGCAGGATGCTCAGATGGCTCTGAAGGCCGAGTTGATCCAGAAGTATGCCGACCGCAACGAAACGGGGAACTTCTTCGATGCTACCAAGGTGATCTACGGCTCCCCGTCGAAAGGAACCGCGACGCTTCTCAACTCTGATGACTCAATGCTTCTGACGGAAAAGTCGCAGATTCTGAAGCGCTGGGTCGAGCTCTTAAGAAGCGTCCTCAACCGCTCCTCTACAATCTCCAGCGCCGCCATCAACCGACTCCCCCAAGTGAAAATCGACATTAACTTGGATCTCCCGTCCTCCCTTCCGGACACCATTCGCGCCGTGCAACAACTCTCTAACGGGAAAGCATCAGGCTCTGATGGGATCCCAGCTGAAATCTACAGACACGTCGACCACTGACTGATGTACCAACTCACAGCGCAATTTCGTGAGAAGTGGCAACAGGGACAGGTCCCTCAAGACTTCAAAGAGACGACCGTCGTTAATCTCTACAATCACAAAGGGAACCGACGACTTTGTCATAGTCACAGACGCATCTCGCTACTCAACATTTTCGGGCAGATCTTCGCTCGTCTTCTCTTCAATCGTCCCAACGTCCACTTTTAGCGTGGAATACTGCCCAAAAACCACTATAGCTTCCGAAGACACCGCGAAACCACCGAAATGATCTTTGTCACTCGCCAGCTACAAGGAAGTGCCAAGGGGTGCAAACCCATCTCCACACTACCTTCATGGACTTGACGAAAGCCTTCGACATGGTGAATCGCGGGGGACCGTGGAAAAGCATGCAGAAATTTGGCTGCCCTAAACGATTTACGCACATTGTACGTCATTTCCACAACGGTATGATGGCCCCCGTCACGAAAGATGGCGCAGACTCCGTGGCATTTGCAGTGACCAATGCAGTGAAGCAAGGCTGCGTATTCGCTTCCACCCTCTTCAGCCTTGTGTTCTCTGCCATGCTGATCGACGCCTACCGTGATGAGCGTCCCGGTATACGCACCACCCACAGCACTGACGGTCATCCTCTCAACAGCAGGTGCATGCAAGCCCCCACGCGACCATCTACGACCACAGTCCACGACCCGCTCTTTGCCGACGACTGCGCGCCCAACACCTCGACCGAAGTGAACATGCAACGAAGCATGGACCTCTTCGCCGCCGGACGTGCCAAATTCGACCC